AACCACCCCCCGTATTCCCCCGACCTGGCGCATTCAGATTACCATTTGTTCACTTCCCTGAAGAAGCACATGGGTGGAAAAAAATTTTCAGCTGACGAGGAAGTGAAGGGGGCGGTCGACAAGTGGACAAAGGAGATGGCGGCAGAGTTCTACGAGGCAGGCATAAAAAAATTAATCTGCCGTCTCACAACCTGCATTGAAAGAAATGGTGACTATGTAGAAAAATAGCACACAAATATATTAATGTAACCACGTTATTTTTTATTTTTTATTTTTTTGAAACCTACAAAAATTGAGTACACTTATTTTCTATACACGATTCGCAGGTACCTATTAAATTATATGTGAATCGTAATTATTCTTAATACCGTTATTTAGAATTGTAAAGTTTTACAAAATTAACAATTATTGAATTATGAAATATAGACCATAAAATAAACTTACGTTCTAATTCAGATTTTATTTTATTTTGCCTCGACAAAAACATTTCATAAGTATCATAGTTAAATGGATAAGCTGGAAAAATATTATAAGTTGAAAATCTTCAATATATATATGTAAATATATACTATATAGGTAGGTTTTCTGTTTATCACCCAACTTTGAATAGTTAATATAACTTTTTCGGTTATTATTATTCATAATAATATATAATATTATCAAAAATTGTTCACCCTAAAAATATATCTTTATATTTTACATAGTTAATGTAATTTTAAGATAAAATTGTTACGTTTCAATACATCCAAATTAATGGACCATCATACAAATATTAAAAGTTCAAAATTTAAAATAACTTACTTAACACATGTTCTACGAAAATTGTCGGACACAGTGTTTCTACACCTACAAATTTTAATATAGATTTGAAATTGTGTTCTTACGATATATCTGATAGAAATATTAAAATATATAAACTATTTATTATACGATATTAATGATATTATTTGAAATTAAAATAATATGATGATAATGGTACAATTTTTTTAATTTTATATATGCAAGTAGATTGCATAGTTGATGAAAAATTTACTACATATTTTAACTACCTATATATTTATTCGAACTCTCCTTTACTTCCTCAAGCTTTTCAAATTTTTAAGTAAGAGTATGGTACCTTTAAAGACCTATTTTAAAATACTTAGATTATTTTTTATTTACAGGGCTACGGTGATTTAAATTATTTTTTTCAAATGATAACCACTTTCTTAATTATAAATGAGTTGTTAATGATTTTTTTTGAAAATCATGATGTATCAAAGTCAAAGTTTGAACGAGTAAATACTTTTTGAGTTATTGAAATGTATATGTATACCTACTACTGGATTCTAATCCTTAATAATAGTTTTACACAAAATAAAATTAGATAGAATATATTTTAGCACTGTTAAAAGATAAAAGCATTTAGATTTTAAATTGCGCATCCTGTACTGAGGGAGTTAAAAACAAATACAAAAGTCAAAGTTAAATATACTTTTTATAGCTTCCTGTAGAAGCTATTACAGTTCAACGATTAAATCATTAAATGTATATAGGTAGTTTATACATACACACGAAAGTAAGAATTAAAATAGAAAAAACAATAAATAAAAAATAATGTGTAGTAATAAAAATGATAATAACAACAGATAAGAAATGAAAGCAGTTAGTGTTTATAGTGTCAAAAATATTTGATGACTGATGAGAGATAATTGTTTGTTTATTAATATGGCAGAAAGAAATTAGTTAATGATGGAGGTGAAGTCGGAGAGGACTAAATTTAAATTTGAATTTTGAGGATTAATGTTTGGTTTGGGATCAGGAGTAACAGAAGCATATTATGAGTGATATGACGGGGTGCATATAAGCCAAGCAAACATTGTTAGAGAACCCGATGAAAATGCTGTTGTACGATTGGCTCTAATCCCAATGAGTAACGACTTCGCTATCAACCATCTGTTATCACTTGATCAGTTATCAAGTTTTGTTCTGAATTTTGAATGTTGTTAAGACGTTTAACTTTAAATAATTTAATTGAAATTAATAAAAAACCAAAAATGATATTTCCAACAAAATATACAAATGGAATTGTTGGAGAATTTGGGAATACCTTTAACATCCGTTCAAACCTAAAATGTATGGAAGATATCAATAATTTGGTTTCTGAATTTGGGGAGTTGAATTTTACTTATTGGAACTATCGCTCCAGTATTCTGAATAGCCTACGAATTGTGTGCTCGTAAGGTCTTTTCCTCAAATATTATAATACGCACCTATTAAAATGAATAATTATTTTCATTAAGTAAAAATGTTGTGTGCTCACAGAGTAGTTTTAAAAAACCAGATGTGAATAAAAAAGGATTATCTAAAAATGCGAATTGCCCAGCTACAAGTGATATAACAATAAAACTTAATACTACTGCAACTAAAAAAAGAGACCCATTTATAAAGGTAGTATAAGCAATGTATAATATGTATATATTTGGCTGGTATACTGAATGTTTTGATTTGTGTTTTAGGAATTTTTTTGGAGTTGGTGATTTTTTGTGTAATTACCTACATGTTTATATGAACCCCTCTTTTTTACTGTAAATTATTTAGCTGGTAATTTTCTTGAACATGTTGATTTATCTAAATGAAAATTCTAATAAGTAGTTATTTTAAATGTTTATATATAGGATAATAATCTTTAAATATGGTTTTACAAAAATATAAACTTTATGTATTATTATATATGCTATTAACTATATTTGGCCAAAAAGTTGTACATTATTTTGTGTATTTCATGTTCTACAGGCTGTTTGGCATTGGTTGTGGGATCCAAAACATAATATACCATTGGAAAAACGTAAAATCTTATAAAAGAGTTTCGAACTGTCTTGTACTCTGAATCAATTGTTGATGCAGAACATGCATATTTAAAGTCCACTGAAGAAAATCTTGACTGTCCAAATTGGATAAACTATACTCGAAATTATTGGAGTTTTAGACAAAAATGGTGTGTATGTTCTAGAGATCACACACCAAGAGGTCATGTCACAAATAACTATTGTGATATCGCTGTAAGGCTGTTCAAAGACCATGTATTATGTAGGGTAAAGGTTTATTATGTTTTAGCTCTAATTGATTTAACATGTACTGCCTTAGAAAACTATTACAAACATAGATTAAGAGAATTTTCAGACAGTAGAAATGTATCGTCCAAGTTATTTCTACAAAAAATGATTAAAGAAACTACTTATTTAAAAAAAGAAATGATTATTCAAGAAAGTGATGATGAGTTTTTAGTTCCGAGTGAAGAAGAAAGTGGTTTAATATACTATGTTGACACTAACAGTGGACTTTGTTCTTGTTCAGCTGCTCTTACTGGAACATTTTGTAAACACCAATGTGCGATTTATAAATATTTTGGTGTTAAGTCTGAGTATTGTCCAGTTATAACTAACACAGATCGTTTCAACATAGTTAAAATTGCCTATAGAGATAAAGTTTTGGACGAATCATTGTATGAATCATTCTTAAAAGAAAATAATGGTCCAATTAATTATGTTGAAATTGAAACTATTAAAAAGAAGTTGAAAATAATGTACTATGTATTGAAAGCAGTAATACTGAAGAAAATAGATCTAGCACATCTGGAATTGAAAATAATGATAATGCAGATAAAAAGATGATGTTTGAAAATGTATTAAAAATTATGAATAATTGTCATGAAAATTTTGGTTCATCTTCAAGTGGTATTTTGAAATTAGAAGAACGTTTTAAAAATTAAAATTGAAGGACAATGGGAAACTTTTTTACCCACTGCTGGTCAACAGGTTGCATTAAGAAGAAGAGATGGTGCTATGATAAAAGTTCAACCAACGTCAATTGCAAGGAGCTCTGTAAAAGTCACAATAGGCAGTAAACGGCTATTAGCAGGCCGACCTCCATCGGGAGAAAAGACTATGGCGAAAAGAAAAAAACGAAACCTAGGATTGAACATAAACTTAAACCAAACAAATGCTAAGAGTCATGGACCTTTTTAAAGTTTTAATATTCAATACGAATACATTTAACATTATTAATATACATAATATATGCATATATATATATATGTATTTTTTAAGGTAATTATAGGACAAATATTTTAACTATTATTTAATATATATATATTGATTTTTACAGGTTGATCAGTGGTACAAAATGTTTTATAATAAAATTAGATAAAAGCATATAATAATTAAATAGAATAAGTCACTAATTTTGTATAAACTGTTCCTTTTTTTTTATCTCTCCTATTCTAAGCATATATTTATAAGTATATAATTGTATAAAACTCATAAGCTAATGCCTATGCTGCCGAAGCTGTAACGATCAATAAAAAAAAAATGTTATATTATTTGTTGACAAGATAACAATTATTTTTTTTTAATATTTTTGTTATAGGCACCTAAAGAACTTGAATTTTTAATTCATTTTTTATATTTATTTATTCTTTGGTTTTTACAGACAATTATTTCTATTATTTTTAATTTTTAGTTAACATAACCAACATATTTTGTTTGAAACTTAGATCATATACACTGGATAGAGCTATAGCGTATATCACGCGTAGTCCGTGTTTGAAGCAGACCTGTTCATATCCGAAGTACTTATTGCGCATGGGTGAGAAATGAAATAGATCGCGCGGGACGGGGAAGGAACAATAATGTGTTATAGTGATAAGGACGATTAGGTACTGAATGCTTAGATCATATACTTTGCTCATGCGCAGTGATGACTTCGGGCACGAACAGCTATGCTTCAAGATTTTAAACCATAGCTCTATCCAGTGTATATGATCTAAGGTATAGAGTAACTCTATGATATAATTCAGAAACATTCAAACTTCAGAACAGAATCTGATAACAAATAATTGATAGCGAAGTCGTTATCTTATTGGGATTAGACATAGACCTATTAAGAAATGGACTGCGCATTGAGAGAGAAAACCAGTTTGATCGTTGAGTAAGAAAGATAGACTACAACTTACCCCGAATATGGAGGAAAAAGTAGCAATCACTAATTTCTCCAAGGGAATCTAATCGTGATAGAGGTATCATAATTCACAATAATAACAAATTTTGAATTTTGAATTTTTTATTATTTTCAAATATTTGTACGAAATAGGCATAACTATATTTTTGTTTTTAGTTATTCATTGTTTCCACAACTTTTATCACTTCATTCAAGGTTTTAAGATGGTAAATTAAAAAAAAAAACCGAAAAAATGATTAAATAAATTAAATAAAAAGTCATACTTTAATAACAAGATAAATGTAGGTATAAATTAATTCAATGCGTGATATTATTATACAACGATTAAAATAAATTACAATTTACAATTCATCGTTTTAGTCATCGTTATGTTAATACTATTTATTGGTTTTTAAAATGTATTGTTTTTGTTAAATAAGATCCAATTCTTTCTTTTGGTTGGCTTATAAGTTTTGTGTAATGATGTACACCAGTGTTTCCCAATGTGGGCGATATCGCCCCCTTGGGGGCGCTAGACCTATCCAGGGGGGCAATGGAAGTTACAAGCTTAATTGGGGGGCATTTCATTACAAAAAGGGGGCGGTGATAGTTTCATCTGTCACTATCGCAATAACAGAAACACCGTACGTGATCCAAATTATCTGAATTTCTATACAGCTTGATGAATCAACTTTACCAGGTAACGAAGCCTTATTATTAGCTTACGTACGATTCGTAAAAGAAGAAAAGATTTGCCAAGAATTATTATTTGCTAAAAACTTGATGACTGACACAAAAGGAGAATCAATATATCACACATTGGAAGAGTTTTTTAAAGAAAAAGAAATTCCTATGTGTAATATCTTATCAGTTGCGACCGATGGTGCTCCAGCCATGGTAGGGTGCCATCGAGGTTTTATTGCATATTTGAAAAAAACTGTACCAAATGTACTCGCTGTACATTGTGTCATTCATCGACAACATTTAGTTGCCAAAAATTTGAGTGAACGCTTACATAAGTCATTACATTATGTAATTTCAGCTATCAATAAAATCAAAAATAATTCATTGAATGATAGATTGTTTGGACAACTTTGTACTGAAAATGATGAAGAATTCAATCAATTATTATTTCACACAGAAGTTCGTTGATTGTCGAAGGGTGCCTGTTTAGACAGATTCTATAAGTTGTTTGACTCGGTACTTGAATTTTTAAAAACTAAAGATGATATTTTACGAGGCAACTTAATTAATTATAGAAGTGACATTGCTTATTTGACTGACCTGTTTAAAAAATTTAATGAAACAAATTTGCAGCTGCAAGGTGATGATTTGAATTTAATCAAAACAAAAAATATTATTTCTGCATTTTTAATAAAACTTCTTATGTACAAAAGAAATTTAGGACGAAAAGAATTTATACAGTTTCCAAATCTATCAATGGCACAAAAAAATGATGAAGATTTAATGACATATTGTCAACACCTGGAAGCACTACATTCCGATTTCAACAAACGATTTGAGGATATTCTTAAAATAAACATACCCAAATGAGTTTTAGATCCATTTTCAAATACAGAAACCATAGATTCTGCAAAATTAGAAGAAGAATTGATAGAAGTAACTACAAATGAGGAATTAAAATTAAAGTTCAAGGAAGGTTACCAAATATTCTGGCTACAAAAGCAGATACCTATACTTTATCCTGGATTGTGGGCTGTTGTACAAACATTTCTGATCGCATTTCCATCATCCTACTTGGTTGAACGTGGATTTAGTGCAGTAACCAATCTACTCACTAAAAAAAGACAACGGTTACAAATAACTAATCGTGGGGACTTAAGAATGCTGCTTACGAAAATCGAACCTAATATCAACGAACTTCTAGCAAAACACCAACCACATCCATCTCATTAAGATATTTTTTTTTGATTTGTACCTATACATTATATATATATTTATAAACAATAAATTTAATTTTTCATTGCATACTTTTTTAACAATATTTTTTTTAAGGGGGGCGTCTGTCGGATTTTTTTTTTGGAAGTGGGCGGTAAAGATAAAATGTTTGGGAAACACTGATGTACACGAATAGTGAAATATGTTTTAAAAATGAAATGTAGCAATTGTAACAAATGATTATTCATTGGAGCTTGAATTAAAATATGATCAGATAGAGATATAAAAATAGTATTGATGTCTATTTCAAATATAGCTTTAATTATTAAATAATTGATTAAACTCGGTATTTTAGAAATATTTGTTTCATAATGTTTAAATACTTTTTCAGTAATTTTGCATAATTTTACTAAATCAGCAGACGGTTGTTTAAGACCATCTCTATTCTTAATAGCTATTAATGATCCTAAATGACTGTGATTTTGTTCTAAACCATCTAAGCAAGTATCACATACCATTATTCATTGGACCTTCCTCACTATGAACAGTTTACAACTTAAAAAGATATGGGTACTATAAAGAATGCTCAGTCCATTTCTTAATAGGTCTATGGGATTAGAGCCAATTGTAGAACAACATTTTCATCGGGTTCTCTAACAATGTACGCTATGCTTATATGCTGATGGGATTGATTGAAGAGGGTTGTTGAGCAGGGACTCGGAGATTTTAGTCTGTGAGGAGTGGGAAGGCTTTATTTTGTGTCAATTGAGAATAGATTGGTAGAAGTGGTCTATACCCTGAAGTTGGCTGTATTGGCCTCGGAGCAGTGAAAGCATTTGAGTAGGGGGCAGTTGTCCGAAAATAGTAAGGAAGTTGATATCACGACTTATACCATCATATACCAACGAGCCATGGCCCATCAGTGACTCCAAACTTGAAATTAATTACAGTGATAATCGCTCACGTGTCCACTCGCTCGCTGAGCTGAGCTCGGACAAAAAAAACGAAAATATCCCTCGACTTGCTATGCAACACCACCTCAAGTTGGTCACAGGGTAACTACCGTATAACCGCTCTTATCATTTTCGGACAAGTGCTTATCACTCAACGCATTTACTGATAACAGAGGGGACGCAAGAGCCGCGTGTGTTCGTGGTGAATGTTATCACTGAACTGATGTCAAATATTTTATACAACAATGTAACCAAATAAATATCTAATAAATGTGATGTAAATTTATATATTTTTTTAATCTAAATAAATAATTTTATGATTAATTGTATTGATAAATGTATTGATTTTACAATGTTTTATTTTCTTGTCTGTTTACACAATACCTAGTCGAAATAATTCTTTGATTTTCAACTTAAGTAATTTTTCTGGTGGGAAAGTGAATCAAGTTGGTGAATTTGGGAAATCAAAATTTTAAATTTAAAGTAGTTTTCAAAAGCTTTTTGAAAAAAAAAAAAAAAAAAACTATGGAAAAACATTAATTTTTAGACAAAATTGATTTTGGTTTTTGGCGTAACTCTAAAAATGACCGTATACATGATATTTTCACTGAATATTAGAATTTTCTATACATCATACAATTTATCAAAACATATCAATATAAATTAATATATAGACATATGCAATTTTTCGATTTTTTTTGTTTATTTCTATACATGCCAATAAAATCATACAAAGTTTTTCATAAGGTTTTTTTCTTTTAAATGCCCTGGGGTTAGGTTACGACCCAAAGGTTATAAATATGTTTAACAATTATATATATTTTACACGTTGATGGAGTCACTTCCAATGAAGTGGCTCCTGCCTTAATCTAAAGTCTTAAACTAAGTCGTATGGTTTCAGATGCTTAAGACGTCTCATGTCCTTGGAGTTATTTAATAATTGGATGGCCAATGGATTGACATGGTGATCTAGGCTCGTCTCGTATTTGCTAGCAAACCTTTGGATTTCGTCTGCTACTGTAGGCAGCATCATATCACGAGCGATGTTTTGACAGCGTTGCATTACGGCTGGCTATTTTCAAGCCTGTCCAATCTCTCATTTAATTTTGTTAATGTTGTCATCACGTCAGATAACGAGGGTACATTTTGTTGTTTATAAGTTTGAGTCAATGGACTTTTTGATGTTCGTTCGATGAACTAGCCATCTATGCAAAAGAAATTTCCCGAGTGACTGGTTTCGCAAGCTTTTGTAGTATTCTTTGTACTGCTGTAGTTTTTTTTGGGTGAGCTTTTTCTATTGAATTTTTATATTATGTGATGCATCCTTTCGAAGGTTTCGTGTCCTTCACCACAGTTAGCGTATTTCGCCTTTGATTTCTTAGACTTAGGGAAATTTAGTGAAGTGTGACCTTCACTACATTTTACACACTTTGGTGTTTTGAAACAATAGTTTCGAGTGTGACCAAATAGTTGACAATTTTTACATAGTGGCACTTCTTTTTATTTTTATTGGAGATTCCACTTTTGTTATATGATTGCACACATTTTTAATATCATAAATGTCTTAGTTGTTTGCTTGTGACTCCAAATCCACGAAGAATAATGGAAGCCTTACAATAGTTCAATCACTAAACTTGTTGTTAGGATCGACTTTTTATTAATTTGAATGTTCATAACATTATATACAAGATGTCCTAATTCGGATAATTCGCTTTTAATATCACAGGGGTCAGTTTCAGAATGTAATCCATGAATTATCACCAGAAACTTTTTTTCTGTTTTAAGTTGGTATCTGTGATACTAAACTTTTTGCTCTTCTAATACTTATATAGTTCATGCCTATTAGTATCTAAATTTCATTTGTTGCTAGTGTCCCTCAGCTTCTTCAAGTTTTAAATTAATCATTAACTCTTTAAAATTATTTACACCACATACCTACTGTTATTGGAGGTGGTTTATGGATGTTTACAGAAGTTTTCGCTACTTCTTTCGTCACCTTGATTGGTTTTTTGGGCGAGCTCAAAATTCCAATAGAGCTTCCAGCGATCATTTCAGAAATCTGAAGTTACGATTACTCATTGTTTAATCGCAATTCCGATAGCATTTGTTTCAAGGTCACATTGTCATTATGTATTTGTGCCCAAATACTAGCATCAACTATTATATTTTGCGGCAGAGTTGTACGGACGTCCATATTTTCATACATTGTGCAATTCGGTTGTTTGAGTGTGACCAACTTAAAATATATTTGTTTATAAAAACTTACCACCCATCTGACCGGCCGCGGTTTGCATTGTAAACATCAACAAAAAATTATAATAACTTAGACAGCACTATTTCGCGAACTGCGAAAGCGAAACATACTTGTTGCTTGTTCGGTGTGCAAAACGCAACTTTTCATAAAGTGATAATATAATAGTAGTTGAAAAATATTAATACATTGGCACCATTTTTTTAAGCTTTCTTTAATTATTTTACTGTTAAAAATATTTTATTTAGAATTGAAAATTTACAACAATGTTTCTCACATTGGAGTTTGTATTGTAAACAAAAAACTACAAAATGTATGAACATGGTTTTTTATTTTATAAATACTTTAAGTTCAAATTTGGATGAATTTAGTTATTTAAACGAAGAATAACAATTATAGTTATTTTGTTGTAGTTTAAAAAATATTATATGTAGGTACTTGAAACTTTTAAAGTATATTAGTTTATTGTATACCTACACTTAATCATATTTTCAAATGCAATTTTTAGTGACTAATAATAAGATAAATTAGTCTAATACCTAGCAAATATATATCATAAAATATATTTACTTAATAATATTATATGCTGATAGACCGTTTTTGCTCAGCATTTTTTTCGTATACATTGTATACTATTAAATAATGTTATATCATCGAATTAAAATTTAACACATCCATTATGGCGACCCCTATAGACCTGTACTGTGCGTATAGCAGAGTAGTACCAACTTGACCACCTTTTTTTGCTATTAATAAAATATTATTTTTAATCTAAGTTACCTTCATCTTTGATATTATTCAAGGTTTCTTCCTTATCCATAATTACTATCGAGTCACCACCTAAACAATAATAAATCCTAGTTAGTTGTTAAAAGTGTGGAGCTGTGGATGCGTTTTTAATACATCCTTAAACTTATTTAAAATGTTTCAAAGAAATGGAGAATAATTAATAGTTGTGATATTACAAGTTCGAAATCAAATCAATTTACTGATGTTAGTAAAAAAAACTGTTCTTTACAGTAAAAAGCATATGTAAATACAGTGGTGCGCTTAAGGTGAGAAATTTAGTAGTCATAGAATTTGAGAGATCCCATTTCATATTGTATACATAGATGTTCAACCAAAGCCAGCTCATATATTGCAACACTGACCAATAATCCAAAAAAAGAACCATACACAAAATCACCTTCACCATTTAGGCCGATGGTTTTAGTGTCATTCACGTATAGGTACTATACGAATTAGGGCATAATATGTTTAGCTCAATTTTAATGTTAGGAAAAACAAATTGTTATGACATAATGTGCTTCGTGATTTGGTGGGCATGTCAAAGGATGATGATAAAAATTTGACCAGCCAATGGTTGAAAATCATATTAAAAATCATATAAAAAAATATTCTTTATTTTTAATGTATAAAACTTGTGTTGTACAGTAAATTTAAACTTTTCATTAGAACTTGAATATTTTCAAACAAATGAATTCGCGTAACACAACATAGATAGCTAGAAATTATACATTATACATTTATAAATAAATATTTCAGTTCAATTATCTTTTAAATACAAGCTATTAGTTGGTTACTTACTAAACAATCTTAGTATTCTTTCGACATGACTATTATATGATTCACCTACGAGAACTCGACCTTCAAAAAAAAAAAAAATTAACAAGTGAATTTAGGTATATAAAGTTTCAAATGAGTTCATATTAAAAAAAAAAAAACTATAATAACATACCGGCTTTTTCATGTTTGAATTGAATAACGGTTAATGGTATTAATCCTAAAAGATAAATTTTAATTTTATTCTTAAATCAGTTTAAACGAAACATTTTTTTTATTAAAACCATTGTATTGATTTCTCTTAAATATTTATTACATATATTCATACTAAGCATTATATCATACATTCATAAATCCAATATGTTATAGTTAGCCATTGAACCTCAGGTAATAACTAATAAGGATTAAAATAATAAGCTTATATTTAACGAAAAGTTTGGGTCCTGCTCTATATTGGTTGATAGTGAAAAAAACTTCAGTTCTTTGAAGTCTAAAAACAATATTCAAATACTGACTTAATAAATTATAAAACAAATAAGTTTGAAAGCCCTTTTATCTATTTGGCTATACGCCTATACTATATGGTAGGTATACATATTTTGTGAAATAAAAAAGATTTTATACACCCATATCTTAAATTTCTAAAGCCATTTTTTAGAGTTTAATATCACCATTTTCAAACATTTATCGTAATTTATCATACATTTGTGATGTTAAGTGTAAACTAAATAATATGTTCTAACGCTACAATGGGCTTGGGCCTTAGATGTGAAATCGTCAATCATTATCAAAATAAGATAAAAAAAGTATGTAAAATTAAATTTATACGATTGATAACTTACCATAGCGTTGTAACCGAGATGTGTGTTCTTCAAAAGTTTCATAGGGTATCGAAAACACTAGAACAAAGACATTTTGAAAAATAAATATGTTTATGAAGTGCAAAAAGAGCTCATATGTGAACATTAAAATTATGCAGGAAACAAAAGATACCGATTATCTGTTAAAACATTTGAACAGTTTTAGCATGTTATTGTTTTATAAAATAACAAACTACTATGCAAGCTTATGCAAGTCGATGATAATTTTTAATTGAGTCAAGTTAAGTTGATAGAAAACATTTAAAGAAGTCCAAAGTTAATAGTTATCCAAATTTTTGTTTTAACTCAAATAAGAGTTATGGAAACTTACAATTAACTCATTAACTTAAGTTAAGTTATTTTTTTTAAATATATAAGTAGCTTATTATATGGCTTAAGAATAATAAAAAGTAAATGTTAATGCAATATGTACCATCAATAATAATTGTATTATATTTATTGTTTAATTATTTATAAATTAACGAAATTAGATTTGATTAAAAGTAACTCGTTATTTATTATTTGTTTATATCAATAAAAATCAGTTAAGTTAACAAGTTAAAATTAATTTAACTTAAGCTTTTGAATTCGTTTGTGCCCAGGCTTGCTATTATGTAACGTTATATTCATGTCAAATATTCTTGATCGAAAATTTTATTGAAAAAACGATCAATTAAGTTTTAGGTAAGTACCTATTAATATTTTCTTTAATTTATACTAGGAGTCAATTTTGATTATTGTGAACATAGACTTTATTTGACATATAAGACTGAAAGAATATTTGATAACACTGAAATTTCTCAGAGAGTCGACTGGCGTGAAGGTGCTTGTACTGGCTCTGGTAAATCAAGTGTGAAGACCGGGTGGCTGGGTCCCTGTTTTATAAGCCTAAACTCCACTCCTCTCCTATCGATAAGATGGCGACCCCGTTTACTATTGCACGTGTGCTTACGAGTTCCAGGAAATGGTCTCTTCCCACGCGGCTGTCGATATCGATATTTGGCAATGTATTATTCAATGGATATGACGTATTATTATATTATATTAATCATAGTCAATTCGTGTCAACGTTAATTCTTTTTATCTCCATACCTCTTCCCAACGCAATTTCGTTTGTCGAGTTCTCAGAACTACCCACACAATGCCAGTAGATATTATCCTAATTATTTCAAGGCGCTTTCCCGAGTTTAATCATATCCTAGTGTGAACAATCTCATGCGTGCCCTTGCCGGCCTTAAGTATAGGTATACGTATATGGCGGGACGTCAGTACATAGCAGCATTATGATTCATGAATATTTCCTACAAGTTTCAAACGAATTTAACGATTTACTTATAAACTTGTTTCGAGTCTTACTATCAACTTGTATGGCCTTTGATTTCAACGTTCTCATTATATTGCCTTATAATACTACATCATTGTATTACTGTGACTCATTTTGCGGTCACCTGATAATATTAGTCTATTAGTATAAGCCATAAGGTCAATGGTATGTAATATAGCTACATCGTATAATAATACGATGTAGGTTTAATGATAATTTATACATATTGATCTCTACATCGTGGCACTGGTACACCGAAAAAACATGGATTTTCGGACCGTTCCTACCGACTATCGGTTGGGCGTTGTGACGTTTCTGAGTGTCCCTCCCGACGTGAGCGTACGATATTGGATGGTAGTTGAAAAGAAAGCACTAGACGTGGTTCAAACAAAGTTCAAATGGCATTTGCCTGGGACCACATCATTGTTTAGACTTCAACCGAGACAACTATGAAAGGGATAGAAAGTTTGAGGTCAACAAATTTAATTAAACAATATTCAACTCTCCTCTGAGAAAGTACAAATAAGTTCTGTTTCTTTTAAGTATACTCTCGTAATAGTGTAATTAATTATTAGTTATCAAGTACATTTTCGATTACTTACGTTTTTTTAAATCATGGAATTCGTATTTTTCTAAAGGTTGAACCTCAGGCGGATTGTTCTCTATTTAAAAAAATTATCAATAAAAATCACAATACCTAATATTTATTGAAAAATCATTGTAATTTCAATAATTATATAGTATTATTATGGTTGTCAAAAATGTTTAAATAATTATTTATTGTTCCATGTAATATTTTCCAATACTCTAAACTCTAAAGTTTAAAATGTCATTAAAATTGGTAACCCAAAATTGTTATTCTTAATAATGATAGTAAGGTACTATTCTATAAAATGATAAACATTTGATCTACTATTTACATTTACTAAAATCTATAATAGTTTCATGATATTATATTTACATTAAAAACGGATTTTATTTTGTAGAGACTTTAATTGCTTTATAATTTAAATGTCTAACAGTTATTATACATTTTGTTTATTTTATGAATTTATTTTTATTTTTTTCTATATTTTCATACTTAAATAGTAAAATGTATAATGGAAATGTCAATTGAATATTCTTATTATTGGTACTAAAAAATGTGTGCTAATACAAGTTATAAAATAGCCACGACGACACAATTGTATTAATTTTGTAATAACAAAATTAAATTGAATTTATTTAATACATTATTCATTATGTACATACTTTTTATCCTTTTTATCCTCTGTTCATAACTTGAATATCTTTCATGTGCTTTTGGTAATCCTGAATAAAATTATTAAGTACTAATTAACCCTTACTTCTTTAACTTTCTTTTAAACTTAGGTATACACCTATTTGTTATTTCTTTTATTCGTATACTTTAATTATTATAGAACTATAGACTATAGTCTTTTTGAGTTTATTAGAAGATAACTTGAAAAATAAAAGTCTAAAAAAAATCAGTGAAGATTACAGCGTTGGTGGTAGAATACTGCAATCATGAATATTATACATTTCGAAACTATGAATCAAAATTTTTTGTTGTGGAGTAAAGATGAAACAAAATTGAAAAAATGAATGATCATTTTAATATTTTTTTCACTATAATTTTTCAAGGGAAACAATTATTATTATTATTTTTTATTTGAATTTGATTGGGTTTCTCCCAACAACAACACAGATATTTTTTCATATTTACCTACTTACCTATATTCTGTATAGCAGCACTCTCAGAGTTCAAGATAAAAATGATTAACACTTAGGAGTAATCAATAAACTAAGCTGCTAAGGTCATACACAACGTCATCAGTAATCAATATGCGGGTTATTACAAATTGTGGTTTATTTTGTTCACACGTTTGAGAGCCACAAACAATATATAATATTTTTCATCGTTGCCCGTAGCTCAACTCATATTTATATAATTTATTATTAAGAGGACACCACATTCGCATTTGTTGTCTCCCTCTTATAAACGCCAACGCGTAACATACCAAATTTACGCTCAGAAGTTCACGTTTTATGCCGTTAGCTTAAAAATTTGAGTGAATCGATTTATTTTGAAACTTAATGGTAAGAACTTAATCTGTGTTTTGTTGGAAGTTTTTTTACAATAATTCCGTTTTTAAGTGAGTCATGAGCATTTTTAATTAACATTTATTATACACTCATTCCTCACTTAAAACTAAATTATCGTAAAAAAAACTTCCAAAAAAACACAGATAAAATTCTTACCATCAAGTTTCATAGTAGGTCGATTCACTCTAATTTTTAAGTTAACGGCATAAAACGCGAACTGCTGAGTTTAAATTTGGTATGTTACGCGTTTGTAAGACGGAGACAACACATGCGGATGTGACGTCCTCTTAAGGTTTAAGTTTAAACATACTTAAACTAAATATACATATAATATTTTAATATGTCTAGTTAAATTGAAGATACATAATATTCTAATAATATTTTTACGTTACTCATGCACTTTATATTCAATTTTATGCACATCGATTTGTGGTACAGTCAAGTCTCGATAACTCGAATTTTTTTTTGTCCCTAGGAAATTCCTATACACTCAATGCAATATTTGTCGCGATAAGTCAAATATAAAAATAGATAGCAGATAGTTGCCGTATATCTTCGCTGTGTATCGTGTACAATTTGTAGTTATGTCTCTTAAACGTAAATTGGTTACATTTACAATTGCTGAAAAGGTGAACATTATAAGTGAGGTGACGAAAAGTGGTAAACAGAAAAATAAAATTGCCAAGCAATTTAATATTCCACCCAGTACACTATCAACTATTCTGAAAAATAAAGACGATATTTTACAAAAATACGAAACTAATAAAGAGTCCATGAAAATAATGAAGATTTGTGAGTATCCCGATATAGAGGTTAGTTTACTCAATTGGCTTATTCAATATAGAGATTTAAACATTCCAATAAATGGACCAATTTTAAAGGAGAAGGCCGAACTTTTTGCTATTAAACCCGACCATAAACAATTTAAAGCTAGTCAAGGTTGGTTAAGCAACTGGAAAATTAGAAATAACGTCGTTTTTCGTAAAATATGTGGTGAAAACGCTTCAGTTGACCAATCGATATGTTCTGACTGGTTAGTAAAATACCTACCAATTATAAATCAATATTCCCCCGATGACGTTTATAATGTTGACGAAACAGGTTTATTTTATAAATGTTTACCGAGTCAAACATTTGTTTTAAGAGGAGAGAACTGTGCGGGGGGGAAAACAGTAAAAAAAGAGTTACAATTCTTTTAGGATCAAATATGACTGGCACAGATAAAATTAAACCACTATTAATTGGAAAATCGGCAAAACCTAGGTGTTTCAAAGGTATTAAAACATATCCACTAGATTATGAATCAAATAAAAAAGCGTGGATGACGAGTGCATTGTTTGAAAAATGGCTGTCTAATTGTGACAAAAAAAATGAGTTTAAAAGGGAAAAAAGTACTCTTCTTAATTGTCAATTGTACTGCTCACAATGCAGAAAAGAAATTCAATTCTATTAAAGTAGAATTTCTTCCACCAAATAAGACTTCACAACTTCAGTCAATGGACCAAGGTATAATACAGAACTTTAAAATATTATATCGTAAAGAAGTTATTCGCAAAATAGTTAATGATATCGATGAAGGTAGATCTTTTTCTATAAACTTGTTACAAACTATGCGAATGTGTTATAAAGCATGGGAAAATGTCAAGAAAAATACAATAGTTAATTGTTTTATTAAATCTGGAATTTCAACTAAGGAAAAAGAAATCAAATATACTCATTTAGAAAGCGACGATGGAGGTTCCGATTGGAAACTTATAGTAGATCACTATAAATTAAAACCAGAAATTACATTTCATACATTTACTGAAATAGACACTAAGATACATACAACTCGAGTATTAACTGATCAAGACATTGTAGACGCAGTGCAACCGACTACTAAATCCGACTCAGACGAAGATGAAGAGGATGAATATCCATTAGTTGTCTCTACAAAAGAAGCGAAAGCATCACTTGATAAATTAAGAGTAGGTATTCATTGAAAAAACCGAAGGTGCAGATGAAATACTTTTCAAGTACTTGGGGGACATTGAAGACTTTATTTTAAAACAACCCAAACGTCAAACTCTTATTTCAAATTATTTTTCTAAATAATTGTAAGAAATTTACATATTTTGTGTTTTAAAATGTAATCTTTTAATAAATTTTTAATTAATAAATAAGGAAATGAGTTTTAAAATTTAATTTTTTAATTTTAATCATAGTTTATAAATATACATATATACTTCTAATAAAAACAAATTAAAAAAAAAAATAATGTCCAACTCGAATTTTTTCGTATTTTTAAAAAAATTCGAGTTATGTAACTCGAAAAATACGTAAGTCGAATTTATTTTTATGTCCCTTGTCATTCGAGTTATCGAGACTCGACTGTATTATTTTTGGAAATATTATATGATTTTATATTTATATAATTATTTTACTCGAATGATAAATATTTTAATATATTTTAACAAATATTAATTACTTAAAAACCATAAATCGTACTGCTCCTTTGTCATCTTATAAGATTCTAAAAAAAAGTGTCATTAAATCTATGAGTTTAATAATACCAAAGTATAATACGCGATATAACAATATTGCTATAGTGCTATACCTATATAAATACGCATAAGTCATAAGAAAAGGCTTTCTACTACCCCCTTCAGATTGTATAAACCGTGTTACTGTGTAGTGTATTGGATGACTGTCTTCCGAAGATGGTGTTAGAGTGAGAATTGAGTTTGAATGACATTTTATGCATCTAGTATTTAGTAACATTAAATCTATAGTTTAATCTAATCGGCATCAGCACACGCATTAATTTTTTGTTGCTTGTTAAAAATTAAAAACGGCTCTATAATCTTTAACACGTTAAGCATAACCTTTAGTGGCAACACTGACAATCAAATAGGCTCATCCGAATAGTTGCCCCAATGCATATAACAAAAAAGAAAGACGTTAACGTTTTCATAAATGAACCTGATATTTTTATCATAAAAAAACCTATTATATAACACTTAATGGTGTTAAAATGGCTTAAAAAGTTAATATAAGTATTTATATATATTGAAATATTAAAAAATATTTTACTTGGGTTTTCAAAGGATTTAGTGTAATCTTTATAAAGAGGAGCTTTTCCAGTATGGTCGACTTTGAAGATAGGTAAATCTGAAATAATTCAATGAATTTTATAAATATTAAACATTTATTGTATCAATACATTCTAAATTACTGCTTTATATTATTATTAGGTAACTAAGTTAGTAATGAGTCATTAGTCATTAGTATATTAATTATGTAATGTATTAAAAAAAAAATGTAAAAATGAACAGGAGAATAGACAATAGTAATGTTTGATTATTTGTAAGAGACGTTGTTGTATTACAACAGAAAAGAATGATTTTCGAAAAGTGTGATCCACTATATTAGAGAAATAAAACGATTGAACTATTGAAAAAATCTTAAAATGACTGTAGAGAATTGTTTCTTTGAACACAGAAATACAAATTTATTTTGTTTAGTTTATATGTATTTATAAATTTATAATATACAATAATATACAATAATACTTATTATTTTCCAATTTTCACTCAGGGTTTGAATTGTATGTATTTATAGTTATTAATTAATTTACTCAAGTTAAATACGCGTATATTTTTATAAATATTTACAATACCACTCGACAGCTGTGGCAAATTTAACAAATTACAATGAAGGCAACTCGGTGAATATTATATAAGCCGATATCATCGATGATGTTTAGTAATAATTTAGCCTTTAAATGTTATAGTCTTGTTTTCAAGATTTTTATGATTTTTTTTTCATAAACCCATAGATACCATGGACAAAATAAAGGAGGTACCTTTTGTAAAAAAAAAACTGTCTTTATTGAACCTCCTGAATAAGTTACCTGAATAATATTTTACTGTTGTAGTTACATAGTATATTGTATAGACATCATCCACGATACATCATGCACTATAGGCACCTATTTATGAATTTTGATAAAAAAGCATTGCACTTTGCATCAGTTTAACACAATATATTTTACGAAGGCTGGAAAACACAATTTTTTACGAGCAAGCATATTGGTACATCTTTATAGCATTGTACCATTATTTAAAAATAACACTGTATCAAAATAATAATAATTTGCATAACTTTGGATTTTGTTAATACGAATATAACCGCCATAACAGTATAATTATGTTACTAAAATAATAATTGTATTTTTTATTTAATATGTGGTGCAGTCATAAAAACACCAGAAATGATTATTTAAAAAGTTACTCACGTTTTTTATAAGTATTGAAGCTGTGAACGTTAGACCCAATCTTTGGTAATCCTACATATGTGTCATCAACAATTTAATAAAATTAGATTTCAATATAACACAAATTTAAAATATCTGTTTAGTAAATATTATTGATACATATTTGTAAAATATTTTTGTGGATAAAATATCATGAACTGTCAACAGTGAAAGGTAATACTCACCCAAACTTTCCAATAATTGAAAATATTCATCAGCTGTACTAGACGCTGGTGGATAAACTGAAAATAGTGTTTATTTTTAATTATTATTATTGGATCTGCTCAATAAAAACAAAATATAGCAATTGTTGATGAACGATTTATCCGCCCATGCCCGTGATGCATCAAACCATCTGTACTTGTAATTATATCATTATCACATTATTATGTGTATTGTAAATAAGGTTTTATAAAAAAAACAATTTTGTTTTCTCATGCGAGAAGATTATGTAATAATAAATAAGTTCAAGCCGGGCCACATAAGCTTACTAACTACCATTGATTAAATAAAGGTGCGATTGTATATTTTAACCAATGAAATGAAAATATGTATCAATTATCAATTAAGTACCTACATATCAGAAATTAAAACGTAAAAAGAAAGTGAATTTGATAAATTGTTATGGGTTAGTTACTTACTTTGCTTGTAACGATCGAAATCACCAGATTTATAAATCTCATCCGCTAAAATCATAAGTAATACCGTAATGGTCATAACTCATAACAATAAACTATTACAAAATTACATATTATTAATTATATACAATGGTACATTATACATATAAGCAATTCAGATGTAAGATGGTCTGGATTGTTATAGTTATTGGCGTATTATGGTGAAACTTTCTATGGGAACATTAAATTTCACCGGTTGAAATATCATTGTCCACAGACTCAAATAAGAAATTTGGTCAGTGTGTTATGTGTATGGGAGTATGATCATGTAAACCTATATCTATATGTTAAGTTATTATGTTATGAGTGTATTTTCGTGATGAATTACAGGTACCTAGGGTTTTGGATATATTTTAGAGATTTTTAATAGTATTGTTTCATTGTATTGTTTTAATTATTATTTTTTTTTATATCTAAAAACATACGACTCGGCATTCATGGCCATTATATAGTTATAGTTAGGTATTTTACAGTTATTTAAAAATAAACTGGTAAAATTAATACTACATTAAATGTAAACAGTAGGGTGACATTATTTATAAAACTAATTCTAATAGTAACTAAGACTTATTGATAAGTTTTCATTTTTTTTTATATCGGTGTTGTCCTTCTTTTCTGTTCCCTATGCAATGTCAAGGATCGAATCTATTGACTATTCTGGTAGTTTGCCGACCTCGCTCGTATTTGAGGCATTCAGTTATAATTTGATCCATAGTCCGTTTGACACTACAAACTTCGCATGCGGGGGCTTCTTTTTTGGCCATTAGGTACCCGTGTGTAAGTCACATGTGTCCAATTCTCATTCGACTTAGAACTGATTCATTTTTCCTTTTAAGAGAGCTGTTTATCCACCTGTTGGTAGTTACTGTGTTTGGTTTGATGTTTCCATATACTGAGCCGTTTATTGTTAGTCATCTCTTTTATATGATTGTTTAAGTCATCGTAAGTAGCAATGGTATTAAGGCCCCTGCAAATGTGTAATTTTTAAGGAGTTGTGTTTAGGCAATTATTTCGTTCCTGCGATTACTGATCGTCTTTGTGTGTGTAGTAAATGATCATTAGTGTATGTATACTCCCCTACCATCACCCGCGACCCGCATCAATTAACAATACATTGTTATTTCTTATCTGATTCATGGTCGCGCACGCACACACACGCACAAGTCATTCAATGTCTAGATCAAAATATTTAAAACCAATTTATGGACGTGAAATAGCCGTCGCACTGACAAAAATTTAGATACTTCTAGTGGTTCGATTTAAAAAATGTTGGTGTTGGTAAACAAGTTTACTTTGCATCGGTCGGAGCACTTTTTCAATTTCAGAAAAATTCTTGACGAGAATAAATATTTTACATTTTATAAATTTATAAATTTTTAGTATTGAATATCTTCAAAAATATCAAAAATATGATCCGACCGATGCAAAGTAGACTTGTTGACTAATTAAAACATCTTTACATTTTTTAAATCGATAAACTAGAAGTACTTAAATTTTTGTCAGTCACTAAGGTCGATTTGATGAAAAATGAATAGAGTTTGCAGGGGCCTTAAGCGTTATTATCGCACGTGTGGTGTCAATTTTGGCCTGTTGTTCGCCGGCACCTAACACACTTCCCTTGATGCCCGTGTGTCCGGAAACCCACATGAGAAATTTTTTTTGATTTTTAGTTAACGCTTCATTAAATTTGTTCTGAATTTTTATTGCGATGTCTCCGAAATTGAATTGGTTTTTTATACTATTGGAACTTACTCAGGGAGTCAATACATTTTTTGTTTTGGGTGTTCTTCGTTGTGTTTTTTTTCATGGGTTCTAGGAACACTATTGCTTGAGCTGTGAATGTGGACATGTACTTAGCAGTTTGAATACTATATTTTTGTTTCTGAGTATTGATGAAATCCTTACTTCATCTTGTGTCTTGGAAGCATCTGTGTCAATTTTTTGGTAGTCTTTATAACTTTCTAGTTTGGGCTGTACCCTTTGAGCTTAAATTTATCTTTTAATGTTTTTA